AGCGAGAATCTGCAATCGTGTCTTAGTGAAGCCACCTAATGTGGCGATAGTTTCATTCCTTCTATGAAGGGAAACTCTAACATTTATTGGCTATCTGTAGTCCACTGGGACACGTTATCTTATTTAATTCTCCTTGGACAGCCCCTGGAACCAGATCTTGCCTTTGTATTAGAAATGAAGAAACTAGTTCCGCCTTCAGTAGCTCCTTGAAAGCAGACGGAGTCTCTGTTTCCTCACCAAATCCACAGCACCTGGCACCTCAGGCACTCACAATTTGTGGAAATAGTGAGATGAGCCCCGAAACAACTCGCGTGTGACCCAGAGTCCAGCTTTGCACGTTGGCCATTTCCAAGTTAAACAGGAAGAATTAAAGATTCACTTTATTCTACCCAGATTATTTCTTAATACCAAGATACAGGTTTGTTTGATGCAGGTAGGGGGATAGAGCGAGTAGCACAATACCTTGGGGAACGTTAGGTGCTCAGCGGTTACGTGTGCACACATTTATTGTAGCATTGATCTATGTGCCAGACATGGCTCTAAACACTTAAATTATAGCCAATTACTTAATCTTCAGGACAACCTTATAATATTCTACATTTTACAGATGAGGGAATCGCAGCATAAGAAACTAAGTAATATGTCCAAGGTCACACAACTAGTGGCAGAATGAAGAATAAAAACCAAAACAGCCAAGACAGGCAGCCTGGCTCCGGAGTTGGCGCTCTTAACCCTACTGAGTGAAGCCGTGGAGTTACAAGTCTGAAAATACTAAATGAAGTGAAGTGTGTAAAAGTAATTGAAGCATTTAATACCCAAACTTAAGGGTGTTTAAGGACTTAAAATTTGTTAAGACTATGATTGGAGTAAATTCATACCAAGCAGTCACTGATAACCGAAGTTACCTGCCATCTCTTTTGTAGCCCCTCTTTGCAGGCATATGTGTGCAGAGTAGGTGATTTGGAAACTTTCTAGATTGCCACGTCAGATATCTGAACACCTGAAAGGGGGTGCTGTAGCATTCCTGGGAAGGAAAAGGATGTGCATTACACACATGCCTTCAGATGGAGAGAAGCCATTTTTTCCATTTTTCCCTTAAACTCTGATTTGACCTCCAGCTGAAATGGGACTTGGCAGCTTTTAAAGAGTCATCGAGATCCTTGAGCTCAGCTCAGTAGGGGCAGATTTTGAAGACCCTTGAATAAAGACAGTAAAGCAGGCAACTGGCTCCTCCAGGCCTTCTTGCATTTATGGCCTCTACTTATTAGGATACAATTTTTGGTGTGGGGAAGAAATATTCCTATGTCACCAATCTTCTGTAAACTCTCTAATCCATTATGGGCATAGAAGAGAACTCTGAGACATGTATAGAGCTTTCCCAATTGTTATCGTTTTTACCCATGACTTACTAAAATAGAAGTGTTAACTCACCCAAATCCTGCCACTAAAATTCCTACAGTTTTCACCACATAGTAATTTAATTTCCACGTTAACTTCCACGGTAGGTCTATGAATTTTCTCACTGGATGCCTACATTAGTGTTTTGCTCTGGTGAAGGATTAATGGAAATACTCTGTTCCTCCCTTGCCTGTTAGCTTTCCAAGTCCCCTCACTTTCCCCTGATGCAGAAGGAAACTTTGGAAGTGAGGAGGCGTGTGAGACTCAGTTGCTTAGCCCAGGGTCATTGATGTACAATATATCTGTTCCACAAAGGGATTATTCTATGGGTGATTGTTTTAGAAAGTTATTAACACTAGGCTGTGTCTTTGTCTTAATTGTAACAATTAAAAAGCTAATCTTACACAAATCAAAACCTTAGGTTTATTTTGAAGTTATGTAGATGCTGCAAATCCCATGTGGGTTCAGATATTCAGCATATTCTTCAACAAACAGTTGTTCATTGATTATAGTTAATTTATATACCCCCTCATAAGATTATAAACTCTTATTAGGGTAGTTTTGCTGCAATAAGGCAATTGAAGTCTATCATATGTGAGATCCTGTGTCGTGCCAACCAAATCTAGCTGAGAGCAGTTGTCTTAAGTGGCANAAATCAAAACCTTAGGTTTATTTTGAAGTTATGTAGATGCTGCAAATCCCATGTGGGTTCAAATATTCAGCATATTCTTCAACAAACAGTTGTTCATTGATTATATTAATTTATATACCCCCTCATAAGATTATAAACTCTTATTAGGGTAGTTTTGCTGCAATAAGGCAATTGAAGTCTATTATATGTGAGATCCTGTGTCGTGCCAACCAAATCTAGCTGAGAGCAGTTGTCTTAAGTGGCAGCAAGTGTCATTACAATGCTAGTTTCGTAGCTGATAGGATTTGTGCTCTCTCCTCAGTTTATGTTTATAGACTCGTAAAAAGGGACACAGGAAGAAAGGTGTGCAAGAGACTGCATATCAGGTAACTCATTCAGAACTTCCTGAAGAGATACTCTCAGCCCAATACCATGAGTCCATTACCATAAACTATTAAAACTGGAAGTTTTCTTATGGAATCTATGATTTATCCTCAGGCAGGATTGTGATTAATCCATTCCAAACATGTAAACATCCATGTACTTCAAAAACAAAACACAGAAACTTCAGGCAAGGGAGATTTAGCTCCTCATTTCTATATTTTATAAGACTTGAGAATCTCTTCCTTTATGTAATCCAAATCCAACATGTTGCTGCTTAGGCTGGTCACCCAGTAGAGCTAGAGAACATCTGGTGCCCACATCTGTGTTATAACCCTTCATGTGCTCTCAAACTATTATTAGATTCAGAATAAATTTCTTTGCTATGTGTAAGATTTCACATAACATTAGACTCCACAGTAATCATTTCTCTTGTCAGAAAATGACTGTGGTTGTGAATGAGCGTGATATATTGTAATAAACTCTTTTTAAAAGATTTTATGTCTACTAAGTAAAAGAGTATTTGTATGTGGAAGTTCCATTTATCTTCTGTGAAAAGTCTCTTGTGCAACTGAATGAAGATATTCAGCATATTCTTCAACAAACAGTTGTTCATTGATTATAGTTAATTTATATACCCCCTCATAAGATTATAAACTCTTATTAGGGTAGTTTTGCTGCAATAAGGCAATTGAAGTCTATCATATGTGAGATCCTGTGTCGTGCCAACCAAATCTAGCTGAGAGCAGTTGTCTTAAGTGGCAGCAAGTGTCATTACAATGCTAGTTTCGTAGCTGATAGGATTTGTGCTCTCTCCTCAGTTTATGTTTATAGACTCGTAAAAAGGGACACAGGAAGAAAGGTGTGCAAGAGACTGCATATCAGGTAACTCATTCAGAACTTCCTGAAGAGATACTCTCAGCCCAATACCATGAGTCCATTACCATAAACTATTAAAACTGGAAGTTTTCTTATGGAATCTCTATGATTTATCCTCAGGCAGGATTGTGATTAATCCATTCCAAACATGTAAACATCCATGTACTTCAAAAACAAAACACAAAAACTTCAGGCAAGGGAGATTTAGCTCCTCATTTCTATATTTTGTAAGACTTGAGAATCTCTTCCTTTATGTAATCCAAATCCAACATGTTGCTGCTTAGGCTGGTTACCCAGTAGAGCTGGAGAACATCTGGTGCCCACATCTGTGTTATAACCCTTCATGTGCTCTCAAACTATTATTAGATTCAGAATAAATTTCTTTGCTATGTGTAAGATTTCACATAACATTAGACTCCACAGTAATCATTTCTCTTGTCAGAAAATGACTGTGGTTGTGAATGAGCGTGATATATTGTAATAAACTCTTTTTAAAAGATTTTATGTCTACTAAGTAAAAGTATTTGTATGTGGAAGTTCCATTTATCTTCTGTGAAAAGTCTCTTGTGCAACTGAATGAAGCAGAAAACAGGTTCAAAAGTTTTGTTTGGAAAAACAACAGCCGTGTGCTTCTGTTTCAAAGGTATTATGTAATATTTTACATTTTACAGATGAGGGAACTGAAGCGCTGCTTGGTGTGATTCAGTTAACTCTCTTCATTTTGAAACAATGAAAATAATTTCCGTTACCATCATGGGTCGTCATGCAGAACGATAAAGAGCTAGAACATGAAACCTTACAAAATGTACAGTGTTTACTGCTGTGTAAATCAAAGCCAAACAGGACCAAGTTATTAGTTAGCATTTTATATTTAAAATACAACCCAATACTATTTTTAAACACGTGGGTCATCATGCAGAACGATAAAGAGCTAGAACATGAAACCTTACAAAATGTACAGTG